TTATTTTCCATTTCTTATCATAATCTGTAGTATAACCTGAAAATCTGTAAAATTTTAACTGTTGCAAGTGTTTGATTGTATCTGACTAAAGAGAATGCTTTAACAGTTTTATTATGATAGTAAATCTGGATATCATTTTACAACTTTTATCGATCTGATAATCCAGCTTAACATATCAAATATTAATCTTAGGTAAATGATATTATCAACAAAATGAACCTGTACTTTATTAACATGTATAATATGCTTTGTTACAAAGAAATTATACACCTGAAAGCTGGTGTGCAATAGTAATTAAATTCTGCATGTAGAATGATAGTGAAAAAAAAAAAATTTATTACAATTTTTACAGCACAAGGATACATCATTAAAGAACAGTTTTGTCACAGATGTTATAAATCAGAAAATGGCAGACTAAATTTGGCAATTAATGTAATCTAATGTAATGTAAACTAATTGTCAGAGATGGCTTTAAAACTTAGTAATATGCAACATTTGTTATGAAACTGTTCTTAATAATGTTTTTATTATTTCAATACTATTCTGTGTGTCTCATAAATCCAAATAATAAATAAGCAGGCTTAGATTTAGAATGTAGTTGTAAGCTTCTTGTCTCTAATGAATTAAATAATTATCTCAAACTACCAATTGGTGGAGATATACGAGGCTTATCAAACTGTATAGGAGCATTAGAAAATCAAAACAATACAGTTTGCTAAGTCTCGTATATTTCCACTAATTGTTAATTTGAGATATTTAATTAGATTTAGAAGCTTTGTATAACATTTTTTATTCAAGACTTTCAGGATTGTCTCATCTTCAGAATCTACAAATATTTCCCAAAATTTATATAAAAAACTAAAGAAAAAATAAATCTTGTAGTGTGTATATAATAATTGTACATGTTTAGGATTGGAAAGTCCCAAAAATGCCAAATAAAAATGTTTGCTGATTTATGAACCTAAACATGTTTATTATTTTAAATAATAACAATCATTCGCATAAAGAAAATAATAATAATTTATTAAATGCTAAATATTTTACATAATTTTATTAGAAGACAATATTACATTAATTGCAATTTGTACACTTGAAAAGAATTAAAAAGACACTGATTTATTGCATACAGATAAATACTATGTAGACTTTTATACTTTTATGTAATCTCATGAGTTATATAATGAATTTGTTTGGTCAAAAATAGGTAATAGTGTATTTCAAAAAGTAAATATATTTGTTTTTAGAATGAAAAAGTGATAAGGAACATAAACAAAGGTTTGCATTGACAACAAAACAAATTTAATAAATATTTTATATAATATATTTCTTAAAAAATTGCTATTTTCTAAATATAATGTATTTTTTATTCCAGAAGTAATATTTATTTATTGGTTTTTAACACTTCTGAAAGAACATTTATAGATTTGTTTAAAAATGAAAAAATCTTGGTTTTTTTTAAATTCTTTTTTAAATATATAAATTTGGTTTTTTATATTATATAAATCAAAATCTTTGTTTACTTGTCTAATTTTTAGTATTTTCTTAGATTGTCTAAATGTTTTTATAATTAAAACCTATTGTTTAGTACAGATATATGTTTATAATATACATGCATGCACACACATACGCATGGAGAGAGGGCGAGAGATTTGTTTATTGTGTGTGAGTGCTCACACCCACACGCATTGATTTGTTTATTATATATAATTATAAAAATAATATAAAGATTTGTTAGCTTAGTTTGAAGATTGTTAAATTTTTTTGAAAGTTATAATAAATTATAAACATTAATTTAAAAATATTGAAATTTAGATAAGATTTTGAAATTAATAGATCTTTAAATTTATAATTATTATTTTTAATATTTTTAAATTAATAAAATTTAAAACTTTATAGAAATATTTACA